ATGGTGTGAATCGCCCACCAAACAATTTCGTTTTTCCTCCTAAATCCTATACGGTTGAGATGGTAGGGTGATACTTTGACTCTAGTCTCTGTTGAGAAAGTTTGAGTCTTATTATTGCTCAATATTCACTCTGATATATTTTTGTGTGTGGTTTTTTTGACATGTTTTTCTCTCATGTTCCTGTGTTTTGTCCAATGAACTAGTATAAGTCTTTTCACTATGTGTTTCACACACTTTACACTTATATTTGAATTTGATCTTTTAGTGTGTGCTTTTTTTGACGTGTTTTTCTCTCATGTTCCTGTGTTTTGTCATTAAAGTTTGATCTCTTATGCTATTTTTCTATAAATATTTTATCTGAACCTATGTGTTTTCCTCTCATGTACACATTTCGGATGATTTCTTTCTAAATTTCTCGTGTATAAAGTATATACAATTGTGTATTTTTCTACTTTTACTAATAACAAAAGGGGGAGAATTTAGTGAAATTTGATGAGTTTTTGCATGAGTAGAGCTTTTGACTTAGTGCATGTTTTGATTTTTTTAAAATATTTTTTGAAAACACTTGATGCATTGTTTAGGGAGAGCCTTACAATACTTGTGCTTGATTACACTTTTTATGAATGCATAAATATAGGGGGAGCATTGCATATTTTTTCTTTTGCATGAAAGTGCATTTGTGCTTATTTTTGTTGTCTATATATCTCAAATATGCATGTATATCGGTATTCCAAATTTTAAATTTATTATTATCAAAAGGGAGAGATTATTAAGATGTAGTTCATACAAGATCTCTTATTTGAGTAATAACAGACTCTCATTTAGTATTAATACTGGTTTGAGATGATATAGTATAGGTAAATATAGGTATACGAAGTGTACGAGGTGAAACAACGTTAAAATCAGAAAATCAGCTCAAAAACCGATTTCAGCCTTTCTACCATCGATGGTAGGCATTGACCATCAATGGTAAGAATAGTTCATCGATGGTCAACATGTTTCATTGATAACTTTTACTCCAGAGACTTTTATATCATCAATGGGCTTTTCAACCATTGATGAGGCCTCGACACTATCGATGGTCGAGAGCCACCGTCGATCTTAAACACTCTATTTTCAGATATAATCTCAGCCATTTGTTGTTTAAATATTCTCTAACTTCTACCACATTATCTATTTTCTGACTTATTGGGAAGTTTATATCATAGAAAGTGAGAGAAAAGAGAATAGTTCTAGGGTTTTGATTTATGAGAGATCAAGTTGAAGATTTTGACCCCTGGAGCCTCATTAAACTCTCATGCATCTTGCACATCTTCAATTCGTTTCATTATGAAAGCTGTCCTTGGATTGATCTTCTTCATCATTCTTCATCAAACTATGCTTATATACTTAGAAGGATGGTTTGTTTAACAAAATAGTTATAAGATCTTTCTTGTACTCTGAGCTTTAATTCTTTGTGTTGGTTTTGCTTTAAACTTTTTTAACGGCGTACTTATGCCGATTAAACTGAGGATTGCGGCTACCTAAGGCTAGGAGTTGCTCATTGTGAGAGTTAAGTTAGATGACTAGTTTGAGGTCGATTCCATGATGTGGTCTTGTAAGTCCACTGAATCGGATTTATGATTTAGATAAACTCTTTTCGTAGTGAGGACGCCCCTTCAAGAGAAGGAAGAGTGAACGTAGGATAGTTATTTGAACCACTATAAAATCTCGTGTTCCTGGTTGATTGTTCTTGGTGTTTGATTGTATTGTTTTATATTATTTATCGCTTTTATTTTACATATTCCACGACATATTATGTGTTTTTTTAGCGAAAAATGGTAATAATCCTTTTCACCCGCAACCCCCGGCTTGCATGCAATGTTTTTAATATCGACCGATAAACCGATATTATCGGTGATTTATCAGTTTTGAGGGTCTTCTGCTATGATAAGTTCGATTCTAAATATGTTATCATTTTTTAATGTTTATCGCCAATAATGCGGCGATAAAGTGAGTTATCGACCGATAATATCGACCCAAAATTAGAATTACGGCCTCTGGTTTGAGTTTTGATTTCGGGCACGGGTACTTATTCAATGCACTTCAAAACCCGACCTGACCTAAGTTTCTACCAATAGTTAGTGATCCTAAACATAATTATTTACATTGTAGTATGTTTATATTATATTATGTATGTTAGATTATATTTTAGAATATTATGTTATGTATATCACTATCCAGTAATATCACTCCGATAAATACTATTTATCCCTGATATATTCCCGATATCTGTTATCCGATATGAATATTGACTATTCAATAAATTCTCAATAACCGATATTTAAAACTTTGTTTGCATGTAAGGTCCAATATATTAGGTCATAGTGGACATAGTAAGCAATGAACTAGAATGAACGTATAGGTATTTGATGGGAAAACAAAGGAGATGTCAGCACATCCTACAAATGATATACTCAAAGTAACTCTATAAGAAAAGATGTTTACGTACAATATTATAGTAAGTGTTGGGTGCTATTAGAAGAAACGGAAACCAATGCCATGTTAGGATAAAAATTAATCATAAAGCTCCTTCGACCACAAATCTAAGATGATCACTACATTTATACGAGATGAATCATATAGGTTGATATAGTCATACTCCAAATCAAATAAGCAAATAAGATGTCAGGAAGTAAAACAAATTGAAACAGAAATGTCAATAGATTCAAATCTACTAATAGAGTAAAAAATCCAATATTTTACCAGAGCATGATGAAACATGGTCAATTTTCTATGCCTATGAAATTCCTCCATGGACTATCATTCACATTCAATTTGGTTCACAACATAGCTTGGAAAAGCGGTCTAGGCTCTCATATAGGCTCCCGCCTAGGCCTAGGTGGTACTTAGGCCATCCGCCTATATCTTAGAAGCACCAAGCAGAGCATGGGCTGTTATGCGGATTGCAAAAAGTAGTTCGTGATCTGATCTCCTTCGTTGCCACCTCTACGTCCTCCTACCTCCTTGGCCTCCCCCAGCCTTCAGCAAAATCTCCTCTAGATCCAGATAAAAAAAGTTGTCGGTCCCATGCTCTTAGCGCAATATCCGCTACTAGAGTAACCGCTCATTGGTGTCGGAAAAGTGTCATTGTCTCATGCTCCTACTCTTTCTTATATGTTTCATGTCCTTTTATTAGATAAGAATATAAATTATGATAGTAAACTAACCAAATCCCTAAATTGTTTTGCTCTTTTCCTTCCAACCCCTTCTAAATAATATAAACTAATCAAGGTTGTCCAGGATCTCAGCTCGGAAGCAATGAACATATTTCACTCCCACTTTTTCCCGCTAAGAATGTTTTATGAAACTCTCACTTCCAAATTTGGAGTATCTTACTTTCACATGATTCACAGATTCAACAAGCAATTGATATTTAACGATCAAAGGTGTAGTACTGCTTGTAGTAGCGATCCTTATATCTTGTATTAACAATCGAAAGAGGGTCGAAAGAAAAATTCTCTATTTGGAAGAATTTTCTTGGTCTTCTGATATTAATAGATAGATTGATTGTTTCGCTGAATTTTCTTGATCTTCCAATATCAATAGATTGATTGTTTCGCTCATGTATCTTCCAAAAAGGAAAAAGATTTTTGAGAGTTGTTTCATGAATCCATGAGAAAGTAATTGGGCTCTCCCAATAAGTAAAAAATGTATCGTGCCAAAATCGAACCAGGGTTTGCAGTGGTGGAGGAACCGGATTAGAAAAAAAAAGGTATTCTAGTTGTAAGATAGCTAATGAAACCATAGCTAGAACTGAGATCTCATTCAAAGAGATAGATAGTAATATTTGGGGTTTCTTTTTTTTATCCTTTACGGATGATCCGACAACAAGGACCATGATTGGGAATTATTTGATCGTCTTTCTCCATATTCCTTTTCTCAATCTTGATTCACATAGAAATTCGGAGATTATAATAATACTAGTGAAATTAGATAGATCCAATTTCCCACGAGCATAGGTATCATCTAATCGAATTTCTCAGTTTAAATATTGTATGGGTAGACTCGACAATACCCTTGTATGGCTTCTTCTATTTCTCGATAAAAAGAAACATGACCAATAGAGATTCAAATGTATATATGATGGATTTCTTTTTTCCCCTCGTTTATACAACACATCCCCTAAGAGAAAGTCTTAACTCGACGACGATTTGATGACCATTTTTGCATAAGAATGTACGGTACAACACATTGTATTTGAGAGAATTATAAATATCAATGTATCATGGATTGCCATGGTCTTCTGGGGATTGTTGGAATTTATATACAAAGTAAGAAGTATTGTAAGATAAGATTTTGGATACTTTCTTATTGGATTGGAATACAATCAATCAGTTCCGCAGTAATTACTACAAATAAATTCACTAGAATAACTAGATTTTTGTCAATTATTGATGCTTATTATGATCCATATTCTACGGTTTTGGTATAATTGTTTTTATTTACTAGACTATAGTACATGATAGACTTCAAATTTCGAGAATGCCCAGCTCAAAAGCAATCCAAGACACCAGAATGAAGTAAGGCTCTAGAAAAGCTTTTTAACTATACCTCCTAAAAAGACTGCAAGAGGTTTTACCGATCTTATTATCTCTGGAAGCCCTTCTAACACAAAACTTGTTTCCTCGAGTCTGGAAAAGGCTCGACCAAGAAATTTTTCCCAAAGCCGACTAAGAAGTCAATGGACCAACAGTTCCCACTAGCTAGGGAGGAATGAGAGAATTCTAGTCAGACTCTTAACTCGTTTCCAATGTATCATCCATGTTGATTTAGTGGCTGTCAAGTCGCCTAGTGCTTACTATAACACTGTTTCACAGATCAACTGAATATCAAACATGGGAAACTAATGGATAAGGATAAGTAGCAGAATTGACAGAGAAATTCATAGGCCTAGGTGGGATGGGATAAATAACGGAATAGAGATGATGACAATGAGAGAATTCTGTACAACGCATCACCATTATTGTGCACATAAAGGATGTAGGAACCATTGTTGTAGAGCATGTGAAATCCTCATCTGCAAATTATTTAGAAATTGAAGCAATTTAAAAGAGATTATAACCAACTAAACTTATATTGTACATCAACATATCATACACAGTATACAAAAAGATAGTCCTTTTGAATTTTAGCTTTGTCATGTGCTTGCCATACAAGTTGCTCAGATATGATTCTTCTACAAATGTAAGCACTATGCCCAGTTGTCCAATTACACAAACATGCAAAATCATGGACAAAAACTGTGGAGAAGGTGAAAAAAGAAGTTCATGAATGTGAATCAGTGTAACACGTAATTGTCCCTTGTTTAGACATCTTATTTCTAAACTAATCAGGCTAAGCACTACATGCTTTGACAGTCAAGTAGACTGAATCCTGCAACATTCATGATTCATGTGCCTAAGGCTTCCTGACTACAAAAGCATTGTGCATAACACGATCTAATATCTAGAAGCTATGCTAGAAGCCTGGAACTACAACCCAGGTATTAAACTAGGCAAAAGATTGCTGTCCAACAATTCAAGTAGTCTCATACTTTTTTTTTTAATAGATATACCAGCCTTCATTATTAAGACTTAAAAACAGGAAACAAAACTAGTTTGTCTTCATTTCATAGAGTATGCTCGATAACTAACAATTGACTTTCAGTTGGATATATGTTGATTCATTCTCAGTTCAGAATCATATACAGAAGGAAACTAGCTGCCTAATTGTGAAAATCTTGAACTATAGAAGAAAAATGGTTTAATCGCACTCTCTACCCAGAGTTAGTTCTTTTTTACAGTACAAAAAAAATTATATCCAAAAGACTTAAGTATTGCCCATATATCAATTTCCCCCTCCCAGCCCCATTAGTACTGGATTATTAACCGAATAATTTTGAACTAGTTTTCTATGAATTATTTATGGTATGTTACATGAGTATAGTAAAAGAAGGGTAAATTACACTAAATGCCCATGAACTTTCAGTGTTTAGCAGTAAACCCTCAACAGCTTTTGCAGAAAACCCCCAAAGTAAACACCATTACATTAGACATGCAGTGCAGCTCACAAGACGGAAGAACACGAAAATACCTCTAAAATTATAATTAAAAAAATCCTTTATGATCTTTTTATGTTTTCAACCCTAGAAAAATATCTCTCTTTTATCATTTGTTCACCTCTTGCTTGCTCCCAAGTTGGAGTCCTGATCCCAAATTACTTCCTTATTTTTTTCTAAAATTGTCCTTCAAAATTCTGTTTTGTGCTTTTTTGTTCTAATTCATGGGTCTGCAAATTACAAAAAAAATTATTGGCAATTCTCTACATTTTCAAAAAAGTTATTAGTGATTTAGTTAGAGCTGACGATTGGGCCGGGCTGGGCCAATCCGGGCCCAAGCCCGCTTGTTTTGAGCTGATCCCAGTTGGATCATTCGGTTCAAACCAAACCCCTGGTATTCGGCGGGGAACACAACCTGACCTGGCCAATTTGAGTCGGCTAGGGTAGTCTTTTCTTTTCTTTTTCTTTCTTTTATTGACTTTTTCAAAACTTGATTTAGATGAATTCCGACCAATTAGTAGTAATTTTATTGCATCTTGAGAAAGGTTTTGTACTTGACACACCAATTTTTTGCTTTAAAAACATATGTGTTTGACTTTGTCATTGTTTTCTATACTACTAAATAGCCACTAATAGTTAGTTAGTTACTAATAGCTAATTTATTTTACTAAAAACTAATGTCATTATGGAGAATGAGTATGAGTTAGGTTTGGACCTCGGTCCTGGCCCAGGTTTGATCCGAGCTGGGTTATGTTTGAGGGTCGGGTTCGAGTTCGGACCTGGCTTTCAGAAATAGCCCCGTATCCGACCCACTTTGAGATCAAGCTGAACCAAACAAAGCCTGAATTCTACCGGGTCGGATCATCCCCGATCCAGAAGGGACGCATGGGCTATGGGCCAACCCAGCCCAATCGTCACCCTTACACTCAAGTGTGATTCTGAAATTTACTAGGTCCCGTTTGGTGAGGGTTCGAAATTTATTTTCTAGTACATGTTTTTGATCCATGTATTGGATTTAAATCTAATTAAATCTATTTGTGGGCACATATGTTATATCAGTGTGTATTGCTATCTTTCAGTTGACACGCATAAAGTGATCAATCAGGTAATTGGATCAATAAGTATTTAAATATGCCATGGGCTAAATATACGGATACCATGTTATAATTATAATTTGATGAGGGGCTAAATTATAAAAGTACAATAACTATAAATAAGGAGTTATGGTCCCTAATCTAGGGTTACATTCTCTATTCTCTTAATCCCCATTTAAAGAGATTCTAAAAGAGAGACCCTCAAGATTAGAAGATCAAATCCTAATTCAGATCCGTGCAAATCCAAACAATGGATTCAGGTATAAGCTTCCGCTCTTATTGTTGTTGTTTATTCTCTTTGAATTAATCATGGTTTTATGGATTAGATCTTAGATATTCAGATCTAACAAGTGGTATCAGAGCCACCCGTGATTAATTCTTAGGGGTTTAAGTTTTAAAATTGGATTTTTTGATCTTATATCTCTGGTTTTTCTCAGAACTGTTCACGGATGAACAGTAAAGTTCTATGAAGAGTAAAGTTTTAAAATTTTTTGGATTTTTTCTTCGATTTTTTGGGATCTGGATCAAGAAGTCATCCTTTGCTTTTCTGATTCTGGATCCGGTTTTGAAATAAAATCGAGGAATTTTTTGGATCTATTTTTGTTTGGTCGTCGGTCCCCGTGCTCCTCGCCGGCGAAGTATCGCTGGCGGCCTCGCTCTCGACTCCGACAACGATGGCGGCATCAGGAAACTAAGGTTTCGACATTTGGGTGCGGGAGCAATAGCGGCGGTAGTTTCAGATTAAAACCTCAAAGGGTTCGTGCGCGTGAAAACGTGCGGAAATTAAGGAGGTGGTTACCTCAATTTTTTTGGCGAGACTTGAAAGCTTCAAACGAACCCTGCGTTCGTTCTCAAGTTGAACCTCGCATTCGTTCTCAAGTAGAACATCGCGTTCGTTCTCAAGTTGAACCTCGCGTTCGTTCTCATGTCGAACCTCGCGTTCATCCTTAGGCAAGTCTCTTGCTCACTTCAAACGAACCCCGCGTTCGTTCTCAAACGAACCTTGCGTTCGTTCTATTATTCTTCTTTTTCATCGGGTGAAAGAAAGCTGCAGACAATTTGAGTTAGGGCACAGCCCACTCAACTCTATTTGGTTTTGGACCTAATTTTAGTATACTTAATTTAACTAATTAAGCAATGAGGCCCTATTTAAGCTATGGAAATTTATATTAATTTAATTTAATTTAAATTTAATTTAGTAGTTAATTAATTATTTAATTCAAATATTATGACACTAAGGTATTAAGATTGTCTCTCACTTTAATTGTTTAATTGAAATAAGAAGTTACCAAAGTAACCTCTCTTGTGTAGATTGTTCATGAGGAATGTGAGATGTTTGTGTGTATGCTTTCGTGTAAATATTTAACCGACCCAAAGGAAGGTTAATATTTATTTAAACTGCATACACATCTGCGATGATAAATGTGTGACAATTATAAGGTTTACATGTGAATAATGAATCGATCCAAAGATAGTTTCATTATTTGACATAAGTTATTATCAATGTTTGATCATTACAACAAGGTATCACTTACAAGTTAATATTACTGTCCAAAGACTTGATACTAATGTTGTGCCAGATATCTTGAGATGGGATTTGTCATTATTTGAATTATATTTATGGTTAATAATATGAGTATCTTTTGTTTATTTCAGCTAATGCATCTGTTACAATAATTTCTACTAACATCAACTCAATTCTCATGCTCAATAGGACAAATTTTAAGGTTTGGAAAGAGATCATATTAATTATTCTTAGCTGCATGGATCTAGACCTTGTATTAAGAACTGAACAACCTCAACCTCTCAATGCGGATAGCACTCCTGATGTTAAGAAGGAGTATGAGAAGTGAGAGCGTTCAAATCGTATGAGTCTAATGATCATTAAGCGTGGCGTTCCGAAAGCCTTCAGGGGAATAGAATCCGAAGGGATTACTAAGGCCAAAGATTTCCTTATAAAAATTGAGAAGCATTTTACGAAAAATGATAAGGTAGAAACAAGCACGCTTTTAGCTCGCTTGATTTCAATGAAGTATAAGGACAGAGGAAATATCAGGGAGTACATTATGGAAATGTCTCGTATTGCTTCAAAACTTAAAACGCTTAAACTCGATCTTTGTGATGAGTTATTGGTACATCTGGTTTTGTTGTCTCTTCCTGCACAGTTCAGTCAGTTCAAGGTCAGTTATAACTGCCAAAAGGAGAAATTGATTCTAAATGAGCTCATTTCATACTGTGTGCAAGAAGAAGACATGTTAAAACAAGATAAGACAAAAAGTACTCATTTAGCTTATGCCTCTAAAGATAAGAGTAAGAAAAGAAAGAATGATAATAAAACTGCTAAGGGTCCAGTTCAGAAGAAACAATATAAGGATAATCAGGGTTGTTCTTCTGTAACAAGCCTGGACACGTAAAGAATGATTGTACCAAATATCACGCCCGACATGCTAATAAGGGTACGTTCCTTATTTTGGTCTGTTATGAGGTTAATTTAGCTTCAGTACCTAGAAACACTTGGTGGTTAGACTCTGATGCTACTACTCACATAAGTGTTCTATACAGGGTTGCCTGAGCTACCGAAAGCCAAGTGATGTTGAAAAACACATCTTTATGGGCGACGGTCAATCGGTAGATGTGGAAACAATTGGGCATTTTAGGTTGCTATTAGGAACTGATTCTTATTTGGACTTAAAAGATACTTTTGTAGTACCGTCTTTTAGACGGAATTTGATTTTTGTTTCTGTATTGGACAAATCAGGTTATCATTGTTCATTCGGAAACAGTCAATTCAATTTATCTTTTAACTCAAATATTGTGGGAACCGGTTACTTGAGTATTTATGATAACCTATATTTGCTTGATATAATTAATTCTTATAATGAATTCTTGCACATGGAATCACGTGATACTAAGCGTAAATTAAATAAAAAGAATTCGACGACATTATGGCATAAGCGCTTGAGTTATATCTCAAAAGGTAGAGTTGAGCGTCTTGTGTCTGATGGTATTTTGGATTCCCTTGATTTTTTGGACTTTGACGTATGTGTTGAATGTATCAAGGAAAAACAGACCAAAATTAAGAGATTAGGTACCAAAAGATCTTCAGACGTCTTAGAATTGATGCATACAGATATTTATGGGTTATTCCCTACGACATCTTAGAATGGTCAATAATATTTTATATCATTCATAGACGATTACTCACGTTATGGATACCTATATCTCATTCATGAGAAATCTGAGTCTCTGGACATGTTCAAAGCCTATCAAGCTGAAGTTGAGAATCAACTCAACAAAAGAATTAAAACCGTTAAATCTGATCGTGATGGTGAATACTACGACAGATATGATGGTTCAGGTGAACAACGTTCAGGACCATTTGCTAGATACCTAGAGGAATAAGTATCGTCCCACAGTACACTATGCCGGGTTCACCTAGCATAAATTGTGTAGCTGAAAGACGAAACAGGACTCTTAAGGATATGATAAGAAGTATGATTGCTCATTCTTCTTTACCAGAGTCATTCTGGGAAGAAGCACTAAAGACAGCAGTTTACATTCTGAATAGAATACCAAGTAAAGCAGTTGTTAAAACACCTTATGAGCTTTGGACTGGTCGAAAATCCAGTTTAAAGCATTTACATATTTAAGGATGTCCAGTTGAGGTAAGGCCTTATAGGCCAAATGAAAAGAAATTAGACTCCAAAACAATTAACAGCTACTTTATTGGGTATTCTGAACGCTCTAGGGGCTATAAGTTTTATGATCCCACACTCAGGAATATTTTTAAGACGGGAACAGTAATATTCTTTGAGGATGTTGAGTTTGGGGGAAGAAATAAGGTTAGAGACATTGTTTTTGAGGAGGAATTGGCTTTAGACCTAAGCCATACAGTTACTTTTGATAATATTCAGGTTCATATACCTATTGTTGCTCAAGAAGTAAATCCGGAACCTCAAGATAATAATGTTGAATAACTCTCTGTTTCAGAAGAACAAACTCAACAACCTCAAGAACCAGTGTCATTAATGAGATCCACGAGAGAAAAGAGAAATGCTATTTCGGATAATTATATTGTATTTCTCCAAGAACATGAGAAAAATAATGGAATATTAGAAGATGATCCAATCAACTTCTCTCAGGCCATGAAAAGTTCTAACTCTCAACAGTAGATTGATGTCACGAATGAAGAATGCAAGTCTATGCAAGACAATAAGGTTTGGGAACTTGTCTCATTGCCAGAAGGTGCAAAACCAATTGGTTGTAAATGGATTTTTTAAAACCAAACGGGATGCAAACGGTAATGTGGAGATGTATAAGGCACGTCTTGTAGCTAAAGGTTTTACTTAAAAGGAATGCATTGATTATACAAAGACTTTCTCTTCGGTTTTATCGAAAGACTCCTTCAGAACAATCATGACACTTATTGCGTATTATGATCTTGAGTTACATCAAATGAATGTTAAGACTGTATTTCTCAATGGCAATATTAATGAGATGATTTATATGGTGCAACCAGAAAACTGTGTCAGGAGACCCAAAGAATATAGTTTGCAAATTAAGGAAATCCATCTATAGACTCAAGCAAACTCCTCGTCAATGGTATTATAAGTTTTAACAAATAATTATCTCGTTCGGTTTTGAGATGAATATTGTTGATGACTGTGTATATCACAAGTTCAGTGGGAGTAAGATTATTTTTTTGGTTCTGTATGTTGATAACATATTGCTTATCACTAATGATATAGACATGTTGCACGAAACCAAGAAATTTCTATCAAAAAATTTTAAGATGAAAGATCTTGAGGACGTCTCTTTTATATTAGGAATCCAGATACAACGAGATTGTTCTCAAGGTATACTTGGATTATCACAAAAAAGCTATATCAATAAAGTACTTAAAAGGTTTGGCATGTAAGACTACAGATCAGGAGACACCCCTGTTGCTAAAGGAGACAAGTTTAATCTCAATCAGTGTCCTAAAGGCAACCTTGAAATTCAGGTAATGCAGAAGATTTCTTATGCTTCGGCTGTAGGAAGTCTAATGTATGCTCACGTATGTACGCGTCCGGATATTGCGTATATTGTTGGGATATTAAGCAGATACTTAAGCAACCCTGGTATGGATCATTGGATAACAGTCAAAAGGGTTATGAGGTATCTTCATAAAACAAAAGATTATATGCTCACAGAAAATCAGAACAGTTAGAGGTCATTGGGTATTCGGACTCTGATTTTGCCAGATGCCAAGATAGCAAAAAGTCTACATCATGCTACATTTATATATTAGCAGGAGGAGCTATATCATGAAAAAGTGTTAAACAGACACTCGTAGCTTCCTCCATTATATCAGCAGAATTTATAGCTTGTTATGAGGCATCCAATCAGGAAATATAGCTGTGAAATTTTATCACGAGACTGCGCATTCTAGAAAATATGAAAATACCACTAAGGTTATATTATGACAATAAATTTACAGTAATGTATTCTAATAACAGGAACTCAACTAAATCAAAACGCATTGACATTGAGTTCCTAGTTATGAAAGAAATGGTACAGAATAGACAGATATCCATAGAGCACATTGGGATAAACTCCATGATAGCTGATCCTCTTACTAAAGGATTATCACCTAAGGTCTTTCATGAGCATACTGCTCATATGGGTGTTGTATTATTTGAGGATATCATGATTTAGTGAGAGTTTGTAATTGTGATGCTTTATGTTAATTTGTATTGTCTGATCAGAATAAAGTTTTTCAGTTCACACACTCTGGTACATAATGTTGAGGTTGACCTCACTAAAGTTTAAAGTAGGACCAGATAAAAATAGACATGTACTGATCACATTACATATAATTTTCATGCTGCACATCTATGATTGATCTATGTAGTTTGATTATATTGGTATATGTGATCATTTATGGGTCGAGTCACGATAAATGTGACGAAAACCGCTTTGATCCTATATTGATATTATCAATGGACGAGATTCTTCGAAAATACCCTTATCTATGGTAGCAATTTTTTGAGCTCATAAGGTTATACACACTTTAAGGAAACATATGGTGCCCAAGTGAGAGATTGTTGGATTTAACTCTAATTAAATCTATTTGTGGGCACATATGTTATATCAGTGTGTTGCTATCTTTCAGTTGACACGCATAAAATGATCAATTAGGTAATTTGATCAATGGGTTTTTAAATATATCATGGGCTAAATGTGCGGATACCAGGTTGTAATTATAATTTGATGAGGGGCCAAATTAGGGCTAAATGTGCGGATACCAGGTTGTAATTATAATTTGATGAGGGGCCAAATTATAAAAGTACAACAACTATAAATAAATACCAGGTTGTAATTATAATTTGATGAGGGGCCAAATTATAAAAGTACAACAACTATAAATAAGGGGTTGCTTTATTTAAAATATCAGATCTAACACCTGGAGAAAACTCTCATCAAACAGTGCATCTCATCACGTTGATTTATGTAAAATATCAGAAACATAAATATGAATTAAAATTTGGAGAACGAGAAGCAGTGACAAAGCCATAGTTCTATTCCCGAAGGTAAAACTTCACTACATACATGGGAAGAATGAAGTGATTGAAGAAGAGCATGTAAGGGGGGTTTCGCTCGGTAGTTCAAAATTAGGGTTTGAGATCACGAGACTACCTACCGATACGCAGTAAGAGCGACGAGACCGATGACAAGAGGAATAACGCACACAACCGAAAGAGGAGCTCCCACGCCATTAGAATTCTTGTATTATTTATTATTCGGCCGCTGAATCCGAATTTAAAGCAGGCAGCTTGGCTCACTGTGTCTCACGGGCCGTATCGAACTCTTCAGGCAGGGATCGAAGGCCCACATGTCAAAATAAAAGGGCCGAAAGATTTCCTTTTTTCGAAATCTATGTATTTATTATTGGAGATTTGAGGAGGGCTCAGATTCGGCTGCAATCTTTTTGAACTTCGCTTCCTCGGAGTGCTGTAAAAAACCAAAAAATAGAAATGAAAACTAAGAAATCACTTATCCATCACATCATCTAATAAGATTGTAACAACTCATATCATCTCATTAACATTTTGTTTTTTTGTTTTCCTCCCAAAAAACTAGGAAAACAATTTCCTTAAGTGTGGGTCACATCATCCAATAATATAATGACAACTCATCTCATCTCATCTATTTTCTTATTTTTAAGAAATAACCAAACAAAAGAAAACAACCTATTACAAGAAATAGGTTTCTTATAATTCATTTCCTTATTTTTTTCCGCCAACCAAACAACATCAAAACAAGTTTTCTTAAAAAATCACTCACATCATCCTATAATAAGGTGACAACTCATCTCATCTCATCTCCATTTCTTTGATTTCCTTCTTTTTTTAGCCAACCAAACAATCCCAAAATCTATTTTTCTTAGAAATATGTTTTCTTTTCTTTGATTTCCCTCTTTTTTTAGGCAAACAAACAGCCCCTTACAAACTACCACTTGCAAAAAGTGGGCAATGCACGTGCTTCTTGCTAGCAACATATGTCCTGAAGAACTCGAGAAGGGCCCAGCCTAACAACTGGCAGGGTAAAGGGGAGTCAGCGCCTTGCAAATTCGTACTGAACGTTCAAACTAAAGAACATGAAGAAATAATAGTGTTAAGAATAAATTTTCAAAACCAACCCTTTTGAAATTTTTCACTTCAAAAATCGATCTATTTGAGATTTATTTAGCATTTTCGACATGGCTGAAACTAGGCCGAAAATGCTAAATAAGTTTTGAAAACTTCAGGGGATTTAGAATCTCATAAAGTTTAGTGCTTAATTAATTAGCGATGAACAAAAAAGCTTGTCGCAAATGGTTAATTAATTAAGCACTAAACTTCACGGGATTCTAAATCATGTGAAGCTTTCGTAACTTATTTAGCATTTTTCGACCCAGTTTCAGTTAGCTGGCTGAAACTAGGTCGAAAATGCTAAATAAATCTCAAATAAGTTGATTTTTAAAAATAAATCTCAAAAAGGGTTAGTTTTGAAAATTTGTCCTAGTGTTAAAGTTTGAGAAAAGTCATAAGCATTTTGATATGATTTCCGATTATGAATTATTTTTTATTAGTAAAGTTTGAATCTATTAGAATTATCTTTTTATTGGAAAAGCCTAAGTCCGTTAGGAATTGTTTTTGTTAGGAAAGTTTCCATTATAGTAGGAATTCTCATGAGGCTATATACATGGCCGGTCATAGGCAGGTTTTTCTATCTTTTATTTTGGAGAAAACATTATAGGAGACATTAATCTTAAAGTTAATAATTTTCATCGGATTTTCGGGATTCGGTCTTGAATTTCTCATGCTATTAGGTCGCTTTGTCGACGATCTGATGGAGGTTTCGCACGCGCTTTCTCGACAAGAGTGGAATCAAAGTAGGATTCTTATTAATTTTTAGTGCTTTCATCAAGAGAGGGGTTCAATTGTCTGCAATGATGTAATCATCGTAGGTTTCAGTTCCCGTATCAATCCCAAATTCAAAGAGGATCGAAACAGTGGATGAGAGATTCAAAATTATGAAATAAGATTTTGAAAAGAGTAGGAAGGAGATGAAGTATTTACCGCAGGCGATCGAGCAATTGAAGTTGTCGTTGAATAGACTAACTAACAACAACAAAGACAAAGGAAACGGCTATGGAGGACTAATCGAGATGAAAAAGGGCTACGAGACGACTGCGAAGGTGGACCGCCCCGGTTTGATCATGAGCGGGATGCAGGCCATGATGCAGAGTGAGGATCCATTGAGGAGAGGTTTGATAGGCGAGGCCGGCATCGTGGATAGGGAGGCAAAAAACAAGCAAGTATTGAGATCAGCAAGGGAGACAAGACTTCAGGCATCAGCATATGTTTAGGTGACTATTCAAAAAAAAGGAGGTGAAGAAGCTTTTTAGAAAGGAGGTACAGGACAAGATAAAGAAGGGTGTATGCTTGCAATGTGGGAATAAGTGGAATAAAGAGCAGCCAACGTAGGATCAGAGCAGCCTATATAATCATGGAGTCCAATGATGAGAGGGATGGCACCGATACTGCAGATTCTGATAGTGAGAGTGAGGGGGCTAATGATAGTGGTGAGGCATTGGAGGGAGTAGAGTTATGACTAAAAGCCATGACAAGAGTTGTTAGACTGTGTACATTGAGGGACATGGTGGATTAGGAAGTATGAGGTCTTATTATTGGTTAATTCTGGTTCTTTGCATAATTTCATTAGGTGATAAGAAGGTGAGTTTGATAAGGACTATTGTAGAGTCTTTTGAGGTGGGGATAGTGAATGCGTAGAAGATGTACTGTCAGGAGATTATCAAGGGCGTTGGTATGAGCGTCCAGGGAGTTTAGATTTTTGCTGATCTTTACGTATTGGCAGTTGTTAGGATGTATGTTGTTGTGGGCAATGCTTGGTTGAAGCATTTAGGAGATACGAAGAGGAATTTTGAGGATATGTGGATGGTGCTTCGATTAGGGGACAAGAGGCACTTGTGGTTTCCAAGAGATTGAAGGCCTATGAGCCTAATGTATTTGAGCAGTTGTGCAAGGGAGTAGCTAAGTGATATGCTATTGTCACATAGGCTGGTGATTGAGGTGATTTTCAGGTAATGACACAGAAGATCTATAAGTCCGATTAGAGGATAAAAGGGGCAGGTAGTGTTGTGACACCAGAGGGTTACATATGTTCTTATAGAGTTTTCACCATTGAGGATTTAGGATCATGGGATAGTTCTAAAAGACTAGTCAAAGCCAATTAGGCATGTCCATCCGGGCCGGGCCGGGCCGGGCAAAACCGGAGCCCGAAACCGGGCTCGGTTGCCCCGGGCCGGCCCAGTTTTCTTTGTTATTTAATTTTTTTAATTTTTCAAGAATACAAATAAAAAATAAACACAGTTTTGATATAAAATTATATTCTTAATCAATTATAATTTAAAAAATAATTACATAATATATATTACAAATATAATCACCTCAATCATTTACAGAGCCCCAATCCCCAATCAAAGACCTCTAAATATATATGTTGTGGATAGGATTTGAACTACTAACAATCTCCCCAAACTCCTAAATTTTACCATTAGACTAAGTAGCCCAAAGTATTCATGTCATTCAATATATGTATATGTATATATACATATACACACACATATACATATATTATACATAAACAAATTGTATGGAGAGGAGAGGTTTTTAGTTTTTAGGATAGTGAGGTTTGTATTTGAACCTCTCCCTATATATATATACATAAACTTATATGTACACATATAAGTATATTTATATAAGAGTATAAATATATATATACACATATATTATACATATATAAGAGAGAGTATACTTATATATACTTATATAAGAGAGAGTATACATTGTATACTTATATATACTTATACATATATAAAATTATATAAGAGATATATACATATATAAGAGAGAGTAAACTTATATATACTTATATAAGAGAGTATACAATGTATACTTATATAGACAATTATGTATTCTGATAATTATGTATTCTGATAATTGATGAGATGCTGGATAAGTTGCATGGTGCTACACTATTTTTAAAACTAGATTTAGGGGCTGGTTACCATTGGATTCGAATGAGAGTGGAGAATATGGTTAAGTTACATGGGATTATGAGGAGTATAGTTACAGATCGGGAGAAGCTATTCATGAGCTCTTTTTGGCAGAAATTATATATGCTATAGCAAGTAAACTTAAAATAAGTTCCTCTTATAATTCACAAAACGGATGGGTAGATAGAGGTCGTGAACAAGATACTAGAACATTATCTGCAAAGCGATTTTCATGAGAAGTAGCGTAAGTGAAAGGATTATATTCCTTGACTTGAGCTAATGTATGGTCATCCACCATTAGTACTACCATCCTATGACAGGGGAGTAACAATGAACGAGGAGGTCAAGCAAGAGTCGCTAGCAAGGGATTAGGTGTTAGTTAACAAAGGCTCACAAGCGAATGAAAAACATACTATGATGAGGGAAGGCGTGATGTGACTTTTGAGTGGGTGAATAGGTGTATGCAACCTTATAGACATTGGTCTTTAAAGAAGTGACTTAATGTGAAGTTATCTCATAGGTATTATAGCCCCTTTAAGATTTTGTAGCAGATCAGAGACGTAGCTTATAAGTTAGAGTTGCTAGAATCGTCATTGTTGCCTCTAGTTTTTCATGTGATAGCGTTGAATAAGAAGGTAGGTGACTCCGAATTGATTAGTTATGAATTACCCTCATTTGATCCAGAGGGGCATATGAGGTTGGTGCCTAAAGACGTGATTCGCCATACGGGTTGGATGGGAAAAAAAGCACTTAGGAGAGGATTTTGTAAGTGTTGATACACTAGAAAGGATTATTGTGGGCGAGGCAACATTAGAGGATTATGATGAGCTTAAGGAGAGATTTCTAGAATTTACACTTGAGAACAGGTGCAGTCTCGAAAAAGGGGAGAATAATATGATTTTTCGATTAGAAATTATCATTTTTAGGAAAGTTTGAGTTTATTAGAATTATCTTTTCTCAAAAAAGTTTGAGTCCATCAGGAATTATTTTTATTAGAAAGTTGATTAGGAAAGTTTTCATTATAGTAGAAATTCTCTTAAGGCTATATATATGGTCGGTCATAGCCAGAGTTTCTTATCTTTTGTTTTAGAGATAATATTGTAAGGGACTTAATCTTGAAGTTATTAATTTTCATAGGATTTCTGGGATTCGATCTTGAATTTCTTGGGTTATTAGGTCATTTTATTGACAATCTAAAAGACGTTTTGCACTTTGTCGATATGTGTGGAATCATATTAGAGTTCTTATCACGTTTCTCTATATATTTACTCTTTCATTCCCTATTTTTTTTCGAGAGCTTCTGTGCTTTTATTGTTTGAAGACACCAACATATCTATGCTATATTATAAAGAACAT